TGTGTGTGTGTGTGTGTGTGTGTATGAACTGTGACGGTATGTTACATACCACTGTGTCATTCAAAAGTATTTAAGTATAAGACCCAACAGTAAGAACTTGTCTTTGCTTGTCACATTGAACAGATGTGAAAACTGGTTCCATGTTTATGTCTTCATCTGCCTTGTTTGTTCATCTAGCTCTAGGTCTTGTACATTTACTCGTCACGTATAAACACTTTTATCATTGATATCATGGTTTGTTGTGTTGTACACGGAAGTGCAATATATTGAGGTCCTGCTAATATTCTGCCAAACATGTTTTTAAGGGCATGTATAACACAAGTCAGAACTTTTGAATAGAAATGTTACAGAGAGTTAAACCGCAAAAAGTCAAAAGAAAAAAAAAAGAATCTCAGTTTTACATTTCTGCCAAAAAATACGCAACAGTGCAACATTGATAATCAAACAAGATCCAATCACAATGTCACCATATATTCAAAGTTTGATCAGAAACAGATCCCAAATCCCTGGTTTCAGCTAGTGCAAGGACCCATACATCTTTTGGCATCAATTAACTGACAGCACTAAATGTTTCAAACAGTCTTAAATTCTTAGTGGAATTGACTGTATTGTTTCCTATATAACAAACATCTGACAATGTCAATGTGTGGACTTTTGTTTATATACCCTTGTATGCCCAGAGGCAGTGTTAAAATCCCACACCATCTCACCTGACTGTGCATGTATCGCAGCATAAAGTCCAGCAGGAAGGACTTGCCCTTGCGGAAGGCCCCTGCCACAGACACCACCACCACATTCAGGTCCTTCACGTGATCTTGCAGCAGGATTTTCTCCAGCGCTGCTGCGTCCAGCTCGAAGCTGTGCTCATCCTCGTTGGCCAGGACAATCTGGATGGGCTTGGCTTTTTCTTCCTCTATCACTGCCTGCAGACAAGAGGTTTCAATCGATCAGGGCTTTCAAAGGCTTGAGAGAAGTTCAAGTGAAAACACTGTGATGACAAGGCAGGTTACTTGGAAGAGACAGGGAATTGAAAATTACAATAAAAAATGTCAGCCTCCCAAGTGACTTCAGGAGTCCGACATAAACAAAAAGTTTGACCAAGCAAAATGTATTAATTATAATAAATTACACAAAATGGCAGAATATTTATATTTGTTTCCTCATATGCATCAATAAAACATTCAGAACATTAATCTTGAAAGTATATAGTACATGTAACAGTAGCTTGTTCATAAAAAGTTCATGTGCATGACCCATGGAGGAGCCCACTACAATTGGGAGCTGATCTAGATAAACAGAACCAGGAATTTATTTTCCACCTTCTCTAACATGACGTGTTCGGGCATTAGCAATGGTAGAGGTATGCACTCTACATTTGTTTTGGCTGGTGCCACTCAACCCAAAAAAATGTGAAGACATCACCAGGCTCTGGGAAAATATTATGTTCAGATCTGGTTAGATCTGGTAACCATGCTCGTTAATAGACAGTAACGTGTCAGCAAACACATTAACACTTTACCTCTTCGTGAATCCCTTCATCAGGTGAGGGGGTGATGCTGGCATTTTTGCCAGAGTTTGAGGCCTTGGTCCTGGGAAGGAAATCATCCTCCAGATCTTCGGTCTTGGCTAAAGGAGGCCTGTTCTTATGCTGAAAAATAGGGGCCTCGTCCATGCCACTCAAGCCTTTGGATAACAAAACAAAGTAGAGATAAAAAGATCGAACTACAATTGGCAAGATAACTCCCTGCTGCATGTTAGTGTGCAGACGATGGGCGGAAAGTAAGACGGAATAGAATGTGGAGGCAGGTTATGTGGCGAGTTTCATTGTAATAAGCTTGTTCAAATGAGAAACAAGCCACTCTGAGTTACAGAAAAAGTGAAATGTCCTATATGGGTCAAATTCCTAATTGTACCAGCATTCTGTGCTGGGCTAAATACTGTGATCCACTCTGGTCTACCCATCTAGGTCAAGCTTGAAAATAGCCTTGCACTGAAAATCACAAAGGACCAACAGAAAGGTCACAAGAGAAGGAGGTAAAAGGACGGCACTTAGGCACTTTTCTTCTCTGTTATTTTGAAGCTTCTGTGACACTTGTTCTCCTAAATCTAACACGTGTTTCCTCTAAAACCATCAGCCTTCCTCTCTGTCACACTGCCACATCAGCAGTTTACAAATAAGCCTGTCTGCCTGAGATCACAACTGTTCATTTCAATGCACTGTCCATGTCAAATAGAGCAAAAAAAATAAGTATAAATAATAAATATTTTCTTTATCAATATGCAAGAATCTTTTATTGATTTATCAGTCAAAAAATGGTGAAACTGTCAATCACAATAAAAATGTTTTATCCAAACATAATTCCAAAACCAAAAAATTAAGTTTATAAAGATAAGAGTTTTTGGAAATCCAATAAAATACATTTGAAAAGCTGAAATCCTCTCAAACATACAACAAAATGAGTCACAGGTTTGGTTTGGATTAAGATGACACTCCCAGTACGCAGTACGCCCTGAAAGTGGTAAATCACTTGATCAACGAACAGGTACAACAACAAGTAATGTGCACTGCTCATCCAAATACTTAAGTGGTTAGACATACAACTGCACTAAAACGTGGGAATATATTGTCTGTCACAACATTCATCACAGTCCATGATGATCATGGGAAACACTGTGGTAAACACATGGTTAGCAGAGTCTGCCTAATGCTAACAGCGCTAACATGAGCATGATTTCTTGTCTTGCTTTTAAATGCCCGTGTTAACGCTGAATGTGTCAGGTGTTTATTCCCACCTTGATTGATTACAGCATCCTGGCATTAGCGCAGGGAGAGTGGGTCTAAGATGGGACTGAAATGATTAGTTGATTTAGTTGATTCACTGAAAGAAGAGGAAGAAAATGGCAGAAAAGGTTTTACTCAATGGAATAGATGTTTTGCTGCAGACACGTGGTTCAACCAATCATCTGCAAAGTATTTGTTTGCTCCTTTATGAACTCTTACCAGATGGTTATAACAACAAACCCTATGTATGGTATGTCAGGTTAAATTTGGACAGCTGTTTAAACTAAAAGATTAATAGTTAAACATATTTGAAAACTAGAACAAGGACATTCGACGATCAAGCTTCCAGAGGGCAGCAGCAATGCTGTGCTAGAGTCTGAGATGCTACTGTAAGCGCTGGGATGTTACAGTAATCTGCTGCCCAGCAAACAAATGAGCCCTGCACATTTCTTAAATCTGTTGCAGTGCATCTCCCCAATAAACCCAGAGCAGCACTCAGCAGGATGAAGTGGCACAGACTGCAGCCTCAGAGGAGACCCGCACAAAGACACTATTCTGCTGGGACTGCAAGGAGTCTGTGCTGCAGCAGAATGTGAGAGAAAAAAAACACAAGCATGCAAGGGAGCATAACAACAGCCAGTCAAAAACCATGAGCTTTGCTGATATGTACTACACTCACACATCATGATAACCTGGCTAATGCACTGTCCTACTCAGCTTGCAGAAAACGAGGGCAGAACTAAAATTAGCCACCTTACTCTTTATCTTATGGAGGCAGCTAGCAGATGTTAACTGGCCTACATGTTTTCCTGATCACACTCAAAGTTACCTAGGTTTGCGCAGTGCATGATGCAGACAAAGTGTCAGTCGTTCTAGTTCTGATGGGAGTCTATCTTTAACATGCATGGTAAGAATAGTGCGTGTCTATCTCAGCACAGCGTCCCAAATCAGGTCTGCGTTCCCTGGACTCCAGCACTATATCTGAGGCAGACTCTGATAAGGCCACGGTTCACTAAACTCAAACAGCTGTCTAAATATGGGAGGTTTCACACTTTAAAGTGGACATTTCTCTAGCATTTTTAAATGATTTTGTATAGGAATGAAGAAATTAACAAACATTTGGGATTAAAGCGGCAGAAAATACACTGCAATTAACTTGTATTTGCTGATGCCCTGTTGGTTACGCCATTTCTTGTTATGATTTGGATTGTAAGACAACAATATGAAAGAGAGCGAGGAATGCATTGTAACTTATTGAAATGCAGGTACACTGACTTCTCTGCAAACCAGCACCAAGGGACAACCTGACTCTGCTTCTCTGGACCTGATTCAACGAGGGCAAATGTTCAATTGCAGCAAAGCAGACCAATCTGGAGTCTGTGAGGACAAAGTGCAGATTAAGAGCAGCCTCAGTTAGTGAAAGCTGTTGCCACAGAGTAAGCTGGCCTGAAGGGAAGTAGACATAAGGGTTATGATGATAACGGACTCTGTGTATCAGTGATGAGCCTTGAAGACATATTATTTTATATTTGCTAACCGGTCTTGACAATGCTAAGAGAATGGCAACAATAACAAACTAAAGCAGAGAGTGGACATTTCTTTTCACACTCTATGCCAGGCATACTAGTGACAAACTGGTTAGTGGAAATAATCTTTACTCCATTTGTAAAAGCTATTAACAATTATCTTTATTGATTAACCTCGGATGATAAAAAAATTAAATTAAAAAACCTGTTTGCGATCCCATAACAAATTAAGGACAAACTGTTTCATAATTTCAGAGAATAGCTTATTTCACACTTTCCCACTTAATATTCAGTCAACTGATAAACAAATTAATCGATCCAGTCATTCAAGTTGTTTAAAGCTTAAAAACGTATTTAATGTCAGCATCATGATGAGAAGATGGAGCCAAATACAAGGTTCTCATTCAGAAACCACCAAGTTAACATTAGGGGGGGTTAAAAACAACAACAACAACACCTTAAACCCAAGGCCTAAGAGCCATCGTCAAAGAAGAGTTAGTTACTCACAGTTATGTAGAACTATTTCAAATCATTAGTTTACTGAAGATATTCGCATTAGAGATCAATACTGAGTTGGCACTAAACTGCAAAGTACAAATACCTCAAGACAAGAAAAGCTGCAGGCATCAAGACTGATTTGTCAAGTCTCTTTTAAAACAGTAGTCAGGCTCCCAATTCAATTTAAGTGCAGCAGTGCAAATAAAATCCAGTGCCCTCAAAGTTTAAGTTGAACTTTAATTAAAGTTAATGAAGCTTCAGCAGTTTGACTCAAGTCACGCTGATATTATATTATACAGTTACAATCTATCAGCTCAACCATCATACATACACAAGAAACATATACGCCTCGTATCTCAGGAAGTGGAAACAGAAAATGTGTGATATTCTTGCTTTGAAGAAATTCTAACATTATTCTAGACTTCAACAAACCCAATCAATTTAACTGTATTGTGATCTTTACGGGCCAGAGTCAACATGATGAATGGTTAGAGCAAATAACACGAGCCCACTGTTATCTGACTTCTGTTCATAAGACACGTCCATTAACAATGAATCTACTTTTAATGACAGTGAAGTTCACACGGTGTAAACTTGTGTTCTGTCCAGAGGGTCCGGACGAGCCTGGGTTAGTCTGCTGGCAAACTGAACACTAATTATAGCTTATTTAAAAATATCCCCCTCATTAGTGGGATGAGGAGATTAACGTGTGTGTGTGTGTGGACTGAAAACCAGTGAACACACAGCGGTGCAGTTTGAGCTGATCCCGGCTGCAGAGGCTGGGGTTTGGAGTAAAGACACCCCGGACACCGGTGGTCCTCTGCGGGCCAGGTGAGAGTGACGGCCCGGACACATGAGCCGACAGGTGTCGCGGTTGAATTCTGTATCCGGGTCAGTGGCCGTTTTTCCAGCTCGAGTTACGGAGGGAAAACACGTCTCCGGACACATGAAGCGAATCATGACCACAACACGAGTCTCTCTGGGGGTTAATTCTCACGGTTTTCACCGGGTAGGCTGTGTTAGCTTGGCGGAGAGGACGCTTGCTCCGGTGGGGGGAGTCTCACCCAGTCAGCACCAGAACACCGCGGGTCTCCAACTGAAAACACTCCGCGGACTAACGGGGGGGGGGGAAGTGAGAGTTTAACCGGCGACAAATAAAAAAACAAAAACAACTCCACATCTTAACGGAACCAACTTTAACTTCTCCCTCCCGACGCGGATTCAAACAACAGCGGTTTACCTTCGTCGGCGACGCGGCTCTTGTGCCCGGGCTTGAAGTGATTTCTGCCCCTCAGCCCGCTCACCTCCGCCATCTTGGACGACTGGGCTCTGACGCGCGTGACGTCACGGCAGCTCCTCTCTTGTCACGCTGTCCCTGAAGCTCGCGCAGCTGCCGCAAACTAGTTCTATTGAAACGCATCGCTTTAAAACTGTTCACGTTTCTCTGCGTTCAATTTAAAATCTTAAAAAATATATATATATATATATATAATAATAAGCTTCCTGCAGCCTGAGGTCAGGGCTGCAACCAAGAATGTGGCTCTCCCTGCAAGAATAAATAAATAAATATATATATTACAGGAAATCAAGCTCATGTCTTCAGTTGGGCTTCTGGAGATTTGTGCAAAAGAAAATACTTTGCATGCCTGAAAGAGTTTTCTTACTGCTCCACTGTCATGATCCATTTAATTACAAAATATGGTCATCATGATGTCGTTTATACAATATGATGACACTAAAGGTTATTGTCCACAGTCATGTAGGATGCAGAGATGCCTCCAAAGATGAGATATACTTTGGTAAAGATAACTTTTCTGATCACTATAACTTTCAGATTCTTTTTCCAGTTCAAATATTTGTAGAGATGTTTTGGAAAATGTGTTTTTGGACCATGTTTTTCTCCCCCTCCACTGCAATAATATTGGTCTGAGCAGGAAACCAATGTCCATGTCTTCAGTTATGTGTCTGGAAAATCAGGGGTTTTGTGCAAGGGAAGATGCTGATAAGAGATTCTCTTACTGCCCTAAGCTCACGATCAGGAACTAATGTAAACAAATAAGAATTATCTGAGAATCAATGCTTGTATGCACATTTCAGGTGCATAGAAGTAATTTTGCATACTTAATTTTCAAAATGTAATTTTCTCATAACAAGGAGATCCCCTGAAGTAATAAAAAAATGAGTCAAACGTGTTTATGCATCCCTGACAACCTGATATTAATCCATAGTCAGGGTCATTTTTATGAACGTGAAACTTATTCTGACCATTGCATCACGTCTTTCTCTGCTTTTAATGCAGCTGAGCTGTCATGCTTCTTTTTTTTTTTTTATCTGCAGGGAAACTCAACCACTAATGTTATCCTCATCAACTCTGGTTTCCATCCCAAGAATGTGAGATATGAATCTGGGAGGAAATTGTTCCATTTCCTGTGTCTCTGAGTCTCACTCTCTTCTCTTTTCCAGGAGGAACTTGGAGGAGTGATGTGCGCCTGAATCTGTTTTTTTTTATGTTGTCATTATGCCATTTAAAAAAACATGGTCATCATGCTGTCATTTATACAATGTAATGACACTAAAGGTTATGTCCACAGTCATGTAGAATGCATCTTTGAGCTATGCTTGATGTTATTTTCTGACTTCTTTCAAGACGTCACTTACCATATGAGTATAACTATAAGTTTCAAATTTTCCCTCAGCTTTAATATTTTTGTGTAGATATCCTAAATACTGATATCTTAGATATTGTGTAGATATCTTAGATATCTTTTTTGTTGACCTTGACCTTTGACCCATCACACACAGTAGCAAATACAACAACTTCAGTGCCACACAGGATAATTAACTCAAAAATAATCACCGACTCACAGAGCTGCTACAGTTTGTTTAAACCTCACAAGTATACATTCATATTTTCACTTGACTCTTACAAGTACTCCCCACCTTGAAGGTTAACACTGCGTACACAGGCCCCACAACACAGATAAGACTTATCTCTTGTGTTTAAATCTTTGACGCAGTAAAGATATGTCGTCCTCCACTAGCTAACCTTACAATCTCTAACTGCTCTGGGTGATTATGTTTGCCAAACATAAAGTCCCATAAAAACCCTTCACTCCAGTAGAAACACTGGCGTCCTGTGTTTACCAGCTGTTCACATCCTGCATTACGTACTGACATTGTGGAGAGACTATCCGCTGTCAGAGATTCAGAAATAGAAGAGCAGCTTTCCTTCAGACCGTCTAATCCTTATGTGAAATTCCACCTGGCTGCGGAGACCTGGGTTTTAGTGGTTTAGAGGATGTGGCTCGAAATGCTTTGCACAAAACCAACAGTGACAATAAAGGATGTGGTGATTCTGATTTGCTTCTGATTTTCATGTCAAAAGTTTTGCTTAAGTGACAATTTTCTTCCAATTAAATCTTGTGGTGAATGCAGCTATAATGAAAAGTGCTCAGAAGAATGTAAATCTAAACATCCACGGTTCATTGACTCCATCTGCTGAGGATGATCACGTGATGCAGACGCTTTTGCCAAGTTGCTGATTCATTATTTTTACCCCGGCAAGACAGAGGAAAAATAAAAACAGACGGGAAAACTGAAGATGGACTCATAGCTCGCCCTAGATAACACTGCACATGAGCCAATCAGCTTTCAGTTGGCTGTGTGTGATGGTGCGTCTGTTGTGTGCTGGATCAACACGCTCTCTCTCTGAGGAACAACCCCACATATCCAGGGGATCCTTCTCCAGCCCGGGATTAGATGTGACATTTAGGGGTCACTAGCGGACACTCTTGTTTGTCCTGTGCTACTACACATTCACAGTTTTCAGGGCAGGGGGATTTCCTTGTTCTTAATTTGGCTGCCCAGTGTTGACAGCTGTAAACAGACAGAAAACATATTTTTTTCATCTGCTCAAGGAATTAATCACGACTATACTGTAGATCAGAACCTGCTGTCATTATTGTGGCCCTGGGTGTTTATCTGGACTGCAAGTTCCTCTCCTTTCTCAACCTTCTTCCAAACAGTGTAATCGACGAGGTCAGTGTGGTTAAACGTAGGGACCTGTCACATAGAAAGAGGAAGTTCATGGTCGTAAAAGAAAAATAATTGTTTTTTTGAAAGAGTCTGGGTGTGTGAGAGAGAGAGAGACGAGCCATGTTAATCTGTGTCAGTGCTCTTCTATTCTTAGCCGGTCCCATCGGACGGCAGAAATATGAGAGACACACGTGTTAACAGGCCCTGATACATTTAGAGAGAGGGTCAGAGAACAGTGACAGAACCCTGAGACCTGTATTAACCTCCAGATGTGTGCACTGGACATCTGTTTATACAGTAATTGTGTGTGTTGTGTGTCGGAGCTGTCCAGGAGCTTTCTCCCAGCATGGAAGCTTTTTTTTAATCTTACTGTATATAAACAGAGCCATTCCAAAAATGTGGAGGAGTTAGGAAGAAATGAGAAACACAGGAGAAAAAATTAAATAAAATAATTAAATAGAATAATGAAAAAGTAAAAATCTTTTTTTGCCCATAGGTGCTCAGTTTCGCACAATACATAGAAGAATGTTTTAAGATTGTAACAATATTAGACATATCAAACAGAACAGTGAAAAATAAAATAGGAATACATTAAGACAAAAGAAGGGAAGAGACAAAAGAAAATGTTTTCAGAGACGTATTGTATGGCACCATGATGTATTTACATATATTCACAAACATCATAATGTCAAAACATAGATTTAGAATTTAAATTATTTCATTAAGTACTTTAATTTATTTTTATATAGATATATTTCATATGTGTTTCCTGCCTCTTTAATGTGGTGTTTCTGGGGAAAATAAATAGGCTATTTTATGTCGTAAATTGTCACAAACCGACAGTTTGTGATTTGACAATTAAAACTGACTGGAGACCACAACACAGATGGATCTTTACCTTTTATTTTACCCTATAAGTCAATCCTTTATTATTGGTTTCTTAAATGAGCCTCAACTTGCATGTGAGAGTTATAAAATGCAGAGGGAGGAAATGTAAAACAATCTAAAAAACGTTCCACTGCTTCCACATGGTGGCAGTGTAGGCCTGATTGAGTTCACAACAAGTGGATAGAACATATGTGTTTGTTTCTCCATCTTTCACTTCAGCTGACCCTTCAAGGCAGTAACTACATTACGTCATAATTTTTGTCTCATCAAACAAATAGAAATAACCAGATACGTCAGGTCAAGATTCAGAGAAAGTTATTCACACATTTATTGCAACAGTCTGGTCTCCTTTTAGAAGAGATGCAGGTTGAACCTCGGGACAAAATTCATTTCTGGTCTGTGAGAAGCAGAGCTGCAAACAGATTGAACTGACTTCCTGGTGATTTTTTAATGTGATTCATCTTTAGTATCTGAATAATATAAATAAAATATCTCCTCCATGTGACTTTGATGCTTTTGGACTAAAACTGGATTTCTTTCTTGTAGAGAAATGTACAACTACAGCGTTGTAATTAATTATATTTATAATCTATTATCATCTTTTTCAATTTGTATTTTTTGTAGTTTATAAATTCTTAAAATCAGAATTTATTGCATTTGTTTTCCTTTTTATTGTTTAAAARATCTTTTCCTTGATGAGTGAGGGTGCTTTGAAAAGCCTTGTGTTTAAAAGATGCTGCATAACTCCTTACCCTAAAAAAGATAACAGAATAAACTAAAATGAGTAATTGAACTACATTCATGTCTAAAATAATCATGTATCATTTTTAATTTTAAAAAATGTAACCACAAATTTATCTTTAATAATTCATCTTTCTATCTTATTGTTGATCGGAAAAGTTCCCAGTAATAACATTTTTGAAAAATAAATGTCGGTAGCTATTTTGCAGAATAAAAACAATAAAAACAAATACATTTACATTTTGCAAACAATTTTTTTTATAATTCAAGTTGTATATATTTGGTTATTGTGTGTTTTATTTTTACCTGTAGGTATGTAGTATTTATAGTTATATCAAGCCACAATCACGTTTCTTTGTCATCAGAGTTTAACAACAACTTTGGAATCATTTCCATTTTTTAATATACATATTTTGTTCAATATATCTGAATCAGAAATTCTTTATACCCTAATATCTGTCTTTGTATCGGCCCACAAATATCGATATTGGTTGACCTAAATAATTCCCACGATACTGTAGTGGAGTATAAAGTGGTATAAAATAGTAATTCTCAAGTAAAGCACAAGTTTGTCATCTTGTATTCAAGTACAGTACTTGTGTACAAATGAGTATACATACAAACTCATGCAGACAAGAGCTGAAATTAGTTGGGAAAATATTTTTCACCATGAAGCTCCTGTTATTCCTCTGCAGGTAA